CGGATTGTCGACGTGTCCGTGGAGGTCTGGGGCGTGACATGAGTCTTTGACACAGAGGAATGTATGGAGCCCCGGAACCTAACTCTAATTAATTGGAATGGAGCGATCAGGAGAGTGAGTTGTTGCAAAAAGTTATGAATCAATTGTAAAAATCATCTAATCTATATCTTTATAATATAATAAAGCTAACCGTTTGGAGAGCTATTTGGAGAAATAATTGACATGTGGCACCATCTTTTGTAAAAAAAAAAGAAATTGACATGTGGCAAGACCACTAAACAAAAGCTATTAACTTCCAAACCCCCACTCATATGTATTCCAATAAAAATTTAGATAAAAATTTATGTGTACTATATATAAGTTAGGTGTATTATATATATATATATATATATATATATATATATACATGGAATAAAGATCAAATGAGAACAATGCTTAACGTGAGAACGTGAGAACACCACATTTACCCCAACGTGTTGCACAATGAAGCTTGTATATTGCACTTTTTCACGTTTTCACAATAATCACCAAAATGTCACCGTGTTTATTTGATATAGGCTTAAATCGAGCAAATTGAAAATGTGCAACAAAAGAGCTCCATTGTGCATCACATTGTTTTAAATGTGAGTGTTCTCACGTTCTCACGTTAAGCATTGTTCTCATTGGAACCGCACCCTATATACATGTATATTTATATTTATGTGTCACGCCCCAGACCGCAATCCAAGCGCGTGTACAACCGCCGTATAATCAAGTGACGTCACCCGCGAGTCAACCTCACTTAATAACACAAGGCATTCGAGAAAATAATCCATCCATACTCAGTAGTAAACATACATAACAACATCACATTTAAACCAATGAATAGCGAAAATATTCAACGGTAAGTCATAAGCCACAACCGGCCAACAACATGGGCACGCAAGCCCCAAAATTAGTTTATAGTAATTCAAATATCCATGAGCATGCGTTCGGTAGTTTGACAGAAAATAAGGAAACACGAACCACGTCTTCCTGAAGTTGATATCACCCGTGATACTTATATGAATAGTCTTTCCCCAAGTTATGAAATACCTTTTTAGTATATATATATATATATATATATATATATATATATATATATATATATACTTGGAAAATATCCGATCCGTAGATCACCATTTTATTTGGAAAATAGTAATAGTCAATATTCTTGACTAAAAACCCCAACCCACTCATATACCTATGAGTGTATAGGACTCCTCCTTGTCCCTATTTCAATATCATAATCTATGAGTTTTGAGGATCATAATCCTTGGGTACTCCACCAATTTATGTTTCAGTGTTAAGGACTTTTAGTCCTAGGGTCCTCCACCAAGTTTGAGTGTTAAGGACTTTTAAGTCCTAGGGTCCTCCACCAAGTTTGAGTGTTAAGGACTTTTAAGTCCTAGGGTCCTCCACCAAGTTTTGAGTGTTAAGTACTTTTAAGTACTAGGGTCCTCCACCAAGTTTTGAGTGTTAAGTACTTTTAAGTACTAGGGGTCCTCCACCAACATATGAGTGTTAAGGACTTTTAAGTCCTAGGGTCCTCCACCAAGTTTTGAGTGTTAAGTACTTTTAAGTACTAGGGTCCTCCACCAAAATATTCCCCTATGATCAACCTCCTGTCAACCTAGATAGAGTCTATATCATACTTAGTCATTCGTAACTAATTCAACACATGAAGCTTATGTATCACAATCCATGCAAAGCCATGCAATTATATAAATGTATAATTAACTATGATGGATGGTCTACCCGGGGGGTGTCTTATCTGAGGGGTTATTGCGGGAATAACTAGAGAGAAGTCAGAGCAAAATAGGAGGAGAGAGAGTCGATTTATTAAATGAACTCTGCGTGTGAGAGTTGGGATCCTTTACAAGGAGAAATGGGCTGCTATTTATAGCGGCAATAAATGCGGTGAGAATACACGTGTCAGTAATCTGACGTCTGAGGGATCACATCAATCGGGTGGCACCGGCAGTGGCATGTTCACCGCATTGAATGCAGTGGGTGGATGTGACGTTGCATTAAATGTGGTGGTTGGCTGTCTCCAAAGGGAATCTTCGATGATTGAGCATGTTTGGCCGAAGACCCCTATTGTAGCCGAGGGCTCCACGTGGCCGAGGACCTCCGTTTAGCCGAAGGCCCCACGTGGCCGAAGGCTTAGTTCGGCCGAAGGCTCCTCTGATGCCGAAGGCTTGACAGTGCCGAGGGCTCCTGTTTTTCCGCCGTTTTCTCCCAGTAGCTTCGTATGCCAAAGAAGGCTATCCTGTGAGTTTTGGAGCCTTCGGCCAAGGAGGCCGAAGGCACCCCCAGTGTGTATTCTGGGCTCAATGGACCTGTGTAGGAGAAGTAAGAGTTTATGGGCCGGGGGTACCTGGGCCATATACTCCATCAAACTAATATCAACTAATATTAATTAATCCATTATCCATCGGTCAACGTTGTCGTTAACTGTCATTTCAAGTCTTACACTTATCAACTTAATCATCATGTAATTAAGTTAAAAATATTCATTTGTGCTTCTAATACACTTCAAACAAATATGCATCTTATATAATTCTTCATATCATATTCCATGCATAAACAATTAATTTCTTTCATACAAACTTAACCCTATTGGCTAATCACATGTTTAAATATCTTTTAAACATCATTATGAACTCATATAACATTTATTTAGGTAATCTCATAATTAACTCAAAAGTTATAAGATATTAAGCCGTCCACTCACCTTGAACTAGCGTTATGAAGTTCTACCCTTCTTGGTTGAACTCCGGTGAAACTCTGGCGACTTTTGGTCAACTCCGGCGACAACTCCGGCGACTTTTCCAACTTTGTGAAGTCACTTGAAATACCCTTTACAAGTGCCTAACAAGGTTTTATAATCATAAAACCCATATTAATACAAATAACCTCAAAAAGGTTATTTTCCGGTGAACCGGTCGTTTTGGCTCCTAAGTCTGTTCTTGGACATAGAACCACCTTCCAACCCATAAATCCATACTCATAACATGTGGAACCATACCAAGGGTCCTTCACATGATATAAACTTCATATGGTAGAAGAAAAATAAAGGAAGAGTTATGATAAGGTCATTACCTTAATCTTTTCACACTTTTAGCACTTTAGCTCCTTTTCTTGGGATTCCTTCTTGTTGAGCTTTTTTCAACAATGGGGAAAGGGGCTGGATGTTTTTTTTCTCTTCCTGGGTGTCTCTTGGCCGAAAATGAGGGGGAGAGGGGTGAGGCTTACCCATTTGTCTCATTGAACAAATGAGTGTGGATGGGGGCCACTTCATTTTTGTTTGATGCCATAAAGATCATATCAAGGCCTCCTCCCATGTTTCTCTTCTCCTACCAGCCGGCCAACCCTCCAATTTGAGTGGCAAAAACGTGGGTTGGCCCCCACTCATGTGGGAGGTCAACCCTTTTTGTCCCGCAGTGTACAATCGGTCCCGAAAGTTGTATTTTTCGGACTGTTTTAAATATATTTTATTTTATCGGGTCCAATAAAATATATTACCCACTCTCAATTATAACGCCCCTCTGTTATAATATATATTCCAAAACTTTAATTTGGAAGTCTCCGAAATTCGTTTTCGGGCTGTTATCTGTTAAATTGTCGGTACCCGGTATTTGGGTCTCTTTTGCCCAATTTGTCAACTCTGCGCCTTTCCACGACCCAAATAAAATATCCACCACCATATAAATATTATCTTGACCAAGATGAATAAAATATGTGGTCTCGGGAATGTTGGGTGGTCCCCGCTCCCGATGTGGGTCCCACGTGCAATTTACTATTCACGCGAAAGAAATAATAAAAATTTACAACTTCGTAAATTCATTAATCCTTTAATAAGGTTCAAATACATTATTTACATAAAAGTAAATATATTTGGAGGACGGTGTCACATTATGCATCACAATGTTGTGTATGAATATAGATAAAAATTTGCACTTGACAATAACATAATAATTGCATATACTCAAAAGTAAAAATAAACAACAAATTTTAGCCTCTTAAAATAAAAAAAATCCACAAAAAAACTAGATGTTTATATACAAGTTGTATGTATAAAAAACTAGATGTTAAACTAGATGTTTATATTCTGACCAAATCACAAGTTGTATAGTCAATCCACAATCTCTACATGTTGATCCGCAAAACCAGTGAGTTAATAAGGTTATTAAAATGCAATCCCAATGGAACGAGCAAACCCAATAGAGTTCGAGTTATTTTGACATATGTATATATAGTCAATTGAGTTCTCTTTTAAACTTTGATTGATGAATTATATACAATTCACAGCCTCTATAAATTTAAGAAAAAATTTAAACACATATGTTACTGTGCGGTGCACGGGTACACACGAATTATTTCTAAAATTTTCTCCATTCCTCCAAACATAAATGCACCAAACTTTTAGACATTGAAAAAGGTCTAATATATCTTCCCTTTTTATATCCATGATACTGAAAAAGCAAGCAATGTTGGAGTAACAAACTATAGATCTAAGTATCTAACTAAGAGAAATATTAAAATATGACAAAAGTATTATAATTATTTTTTACCTAGACAATGTACAATTTGTGTATACATTTTGTCTGCACTTAGAATGACCCAGTTTTATACTCCCTCCGTCCCATAATTTTCTTCATTCTTTCCTTTTTGGTCCGTCCCAAATTTATCTCATTTTTCCCTTTTTAGCAAAGGATTTGTGGTTCACAACCATTCTTACACATTCCTCTCTCCTCTGCACAGCTCTCCACCACACATTTCCCACTTTCTTAATCTCCGTGCCCAGTCAAAACCGAAGTTAATTCTAGGACGGAGGGAGTAAAAGATTTTTAGTGTAAATGAGTTCTACACAAGATTACTCTAGTTATATACGAGTAACAATTTGTGTAGATCAAGAATAACACAACTTTTATTATGAGACTCATGATTCATGAAGTAAAGGATTCTCCACGTCAATAATTGACTTCGAGACCACCTAGGAAAATAAAATGAGTGAATCCCAAAAGCCAGGAGTTCCACCACGCACTGTAGCCGAGGATGACAGTCCCAAAACATCATTCGAACCTACCAAACAGAATCCTCTTCCTCATCCTCCTCCACCTACTCCCTCACTCCACACTCCCCTCCGCCGCGGAACACCCAAACCCACCACCACTCCCACTCCCGCCCCTCCCCACAGCACTGCAGCTCTCATGGCAGCTTTCGGAGATGGCCATGTTCTTCCACTTCGGACCCAACACTTTCACCGGGTCGGAATGGGGAACGGGTCACGCCGACCCGTCATTGTTCAACCCGGCTAGTCTGAATGCGACCCATTGGGTTTCTGTGGCCAAGGAGAATGGGTTTTCAAGGGTGGTCCTGACTGCTAAGCACCATGATGGGTTCTGCCTCTGGCCTTCAAAGTACACCAATTACTCAGTCAAGTCTAGCCCTTGGAGAAATGGGTCTGGAGATGTGGTGGGTGAGTTGGCTCAGGCTGCGAAGGCTTTTGGTGTGGAATTGGGTCTTTATCTTTCTCCTTGGGACAGACATGAGCCTACATTTGGGATGACTCTGGAGTATAATGAGTTCTACTTGGGGCAGATGACTGAATTGCTGACTAGGTAATTAGTTAAAACATCTCATATAAACAAATTGCTCGTATATTTTCTATAGAATAAAAGTTGATGATTCACATTGTCCTAATTATTTTTATATCTGATCGGATCTGATCTGAACTTTTATAATTTAATTTAATTTGAATTTTCTAATCTGATCTGATCTTAATCTTTCGCATATGATATAGTTACTCTTCGGCATATGATATATTGTCAATCTTTGTGATATGGTGTAACTCTTTCTAATTTAAGTCTCTCTTACCTAATTTGAGTCCATATTATAAAATTTAAATTTTTCTGATTTGATCTGTGTGTATCTCACTAATACTATTATTTGTATATCATAATGTTAATATGAAGTACATGTTATTATTTTATGATTTATGATTGTTATTGTTGTTTGTATATAGAAGAAATGTTTGTTATAGTCATAATATACTTCATACGGAGTAGTTGACTTAATTGAGTAATGTTTAAGTAACAAATACATGAAATTATTTTGCCAAAGGGACAACAACATCGATGTCGATAAATGTATCGATTTTGCTTAACTCAATTTGCATCTTTACTAAACCTTAGACTTCCATTCAAAAAAAAACCTTAAATACACATTTACTCCTATAATAATGAATAATAGTTCTAGTAAGCTCAGCTCATCAAGTAAAGGACTCCTATTTCATTTATATTGCAATAATACTTTGTATTTAAACATATCTGATTATGGATGTTTTTACTTGGACTGTAATTTGTCCCAGACCAGTCCAGACCAGATCAGACCAGACTTGGATTACTTGGATAGTTATAAAAATACAAAAAAAACAGACTTTACCAGACCAGACCAGTTCAGACCAGACCAGATCAGACTAGACCAGACCAGACCAGCAAATTACAGTCCAAGTAAAAACATCCTAGATCATACGATAGTATTTAAATAGATCAGGTCAACGAGACCAGATTTAAATATATAAGATCAGGCTAGACCAAATTTCGACAGTTATAAAGTATAAATAGATCACACATTTACCATATCAGACCCGTTCATACCTAATTAAATAAGACTTGAACAAACTAAAACATCCTAATGTATTGGGTTTATTGCGTCAAAACCTCTCATCATATATAAGTTTTGCACGTTACCCCTCGTAATTTAAAAAATATGAGAAACCCCTAGCTATATTGTGATTATTTATTATGCATGCACCTAATTAATACGGAGTACCATATAAGAATAAATTTAAAAATGTAGCTATTAATAAAAAATAGTGTTCAAAATGTTTAGGGAAAAGTATGGAAAAGATACTTGTGGTTGGTTCCATTTTCCGATAGGATCATGTGTTTCACTTTTTTATCAAAAGTGGTTCATGTGTTTGAATTCCGTTATCACAAGAGGGTCACGCCATTAAAAACGTCTAGGAAGACGGTTAATAGTAACTCTAGTTTCCAAAAGTGTCCGGAAAATTAAAAGAAAAATACCGGAAGGTGTGACTTGTCAAGATGACCTCCAAACTACCTTTGCCTTTGGATTTCTTGGATCTGTTTGATTATTTTTTTAAAATGAATTCGCTAATATCACTTTTCCGGCGGACTTTCCGGTGACAAGGGTGACTAGAAACAAAAAAGAAAGATAACCTAGCGAACGTCTTATTGAGGCGCAACTTCCAGTACTTTTGTTTTAATTTTCCAGACACTTTTAAAGGAATAAGGCGTCAGGACCGGCCCTGTTGTGATAACGGAATTCAAACACATGAATCCCTTTGATAAAAAATGAAACACATGACCCTATCTGAAAACGAGTTCAACCACAAATACTTTTTCCGTACTTTTCCCAAATGTTTATAATACTTCCATCCTCCTAACATCGAGACAAAAGGTGGTGATAATGACATATTGTACTACTTTTTAAAAAAAAAAGTAAAGTTGTGTGGTTAGATTATGAGCCCGTTTGGTAGCATGAAAATCGGCTGTTTTGGCTGATTCTGCTGAAATTTATGAAGTTTTGGGTGAAGTGGCTGCATTGGCTGATTCTGGTGATTTAAGAAAAAAAATATTTTTAAAAATATATGTTATTAATAAAATAAAGAAAAAATTATATGTAAAAATAGCTAAAATGGTCATCTACAGTAACTTCAGCCAATACAGCCAGAAAAGTAACTTCAACCTTACTTTTTCTGCTTATTACACAATTCAGTGCGCAAAAGTAAAAATTACGCGTTTGGTGAAAAAGTTGGCTGATAAGCCTGATAAGCCGAAAAACATTGTTACCAAACGGCCTCTATATTGATGTAGTGTAAATACGATAAATGACCATTGTAATCACCCAAATTTCACATATGAGACGAAATTAAGAGTTTTTTGCATAATAATGCTAAATAAAAAATATTTATGAAATTGGGGTTGAGTTAAAAGTATTTCCAAAATACTGTAGTGTGAATGGTAGTTAACAAAAATGCCACTTGAATTTGCAGTTTAACCAAAAAAAGAATGACCCAAGAAGGCTAGTGAAATAAAAAAAACTTGTTATTAAAAATTCTATAACTTTTTTATTTGTACTCCGATTATTACAAAAGATATATCAAAATTTATATTTTTTTTATTATATTTCATATGACACCAATATCTTTTTAAGTGCTAATTGTTATTATTATTATTAATACTATTATATACTCCGTACGTAACATGTTTAACAACATTCGAGTACAAATAAACAAATTATAATAGTTTATTAAAATTAGACTTTTTATTTCACCGGACCCACAATACTTTTCGTTTTCTGTAGTCCTAATTGAAGTGGCATTTTTTGCAAGCCTCTAATTGAAGTGGCATTTTTCTTAACTATAGTTTGCCCCTGTACTATTTTGAGGAGTACTTTTAACCCAATTCCAATTTTACAAATATTTTTGTCTTTAGCACTACTCAGGAAAAATCTCAAAACTTAATGGGATGGATCAAAAAGGTAAATGAGAGAAGAGAAAACTGCCAAATAGGTCCTCGAACTTTTATAAAAAGTCAATTAAGTCCTTCTATAGGAGATTATGTCCGGTCGTCGCGATTTGGGGCGGTTCCCGGTGGAATTTTTTGATGAACTTTTTTTAGCATCTTATTCATCAAGTCTAGTTTATTCATACCAAATTTCAGCTAAAAATTTAATCGGGGCGCATTCAAATTAATTCAAGAACGCAAAAATGCGTAGTTATCTTCAAGAATTAATTTGAATGTGTTCGCGATTGAATTTTTTGTTGCAATTTAGTATGAGTAAACTAGACTTGGTGAATAAGATGCTCAAAAAATTTCATCAAAAAATTCTACCGGGAACTGCCCCAAATCGCGACGGCCGGACAGAACCTCCTATAGAAGGACTTAATTGGCCTTTTTATGAAAGTTCGAGGACCTATTTGACAGTTTTCCCAGGAGAGAAAGATAGGGTACACAGGGAGTATAATCTACTCCGTAGTTGTTTTGACAGATTTCCGTGCATATAAGAAATTTGATGTTAGTTAGCATTAAAATTCATAAAAGTTTCTACTTGATTATGTATGATTGATTAGGTTCTGTGTTTTACTCGAGCTCTTACTCGTTGTTGAAGTTTTTTGAACTAGATTGTTTTTTAAAATGGGAGAAATCTCTAATGGTATTGAAAGTGCTTGATGAAATGACCATTAGAACTATGTATAATGTAGATATGGGGAGATCACACAAATATTCTTGGATGGTGCTAAAGGAGAGGGAGAGAAGGATATGGAGTATTACTTCGATCATTGGTTCAGCTTTATTCATCAGTACCAACCTGGGGCAGCAATTTTCTCGGAGGCTGGCCCTGATACCAGATGGGTAGGAAATGAAGCAGGCATTGCCCCTACTACTTGTTGGTCCCTTTTCAATTGTAGTGATGCAGTCATCGGTGGAACCGATATCCAGTGAGTTCACTCTGCTCATATCACTCCAATGGCATTATCACTTTATTCTAGAAATACTATAGCTCTTTCTTGATTGGAAGTAGGGAAATACTCAACAAGTAGAACATGCCAGAGAAGAACTAAAACTTAACCTCAATTAAAAACAACGAGGCCCATAAAGACTGAAATACTTCGTATTTACTTTTGCTGGGTTTTGGGTTAATTGCATAATCATTCCTCTGAGATTTTTGAGAATTACAAAGAAGTCATCCCTTAAAGAGTGAAGTTTTCCTCGAATAACCCATTTTCCTCATGTACATGTTTTTAATGCATATTATCAACTGAAATATTTCAAACTTTCTCAAGGAAAAACACTATGAGGCGTCTGGTAAAATCCAATGTATATTGTTTAGTCATCTTATACTGGCAATATATAAAGATATTAACTCGCATATACAGGTTGTAATCTATCTATTAGATTGACCTTTCAAAATGAATGTCAATAGTGCTTTATACATGTATTAGTATACCCTTACCCTTTAGCCTTTTAGTTCGTTATTAGACAAACTATATTCATTTTGTGATTTGATGATCCAATGTCAAGGATGGCAGATGGAATTAACTCTTGTTTTTCTTATGATCTCCCAACAGATATCTAGGACATGGTGACCCTGTAGGTCACGATTGGGTGCCTGCTGAATGTGATGTTTCAATACGAACTGGTTGGTTTTGGCATGCATCAGAAATTCCGAAGACCGCAATGGACCTTCTTGACATTTACTACAAATCAGTTGGCAGAAACTGCCTCCTATTGTTAAATGTACCACCAAACAATTCAGGTCTTATATCCGACGAAGATATTCAAGTCCTCAGAGAGTTCACTGAGATCAGGACGTCCATTTTCTCCCATAACCTGGCAAAACATGCTTATCCTTCTGCCAGCAGTACAAGAGGCGCAACCGATTCCCATTTTGCTCCCGAAAACGTTCTCAAAGAAGGGATCTATACATATTGGGCCCCAGGACGGGATCAATCTGAACATGTATTGTATCTGGATTTCCAAGAACAATATACATTCAATGTGTTTGAAATTAAAGAACCAATTCATATGGGGCAGCGGGTCATTGCATTCCATATTGACATATTGAATGAAAGAATGGAATGGGAGGAAACGGCAAGTGGAAGTACGATTGGGTATCGGAGGTTTTTGTTGTTTCCTACGGTGAAAACGAATAGCATAAGACTTGTCATTGACAAGTGCAGAGAAGAACCTCTGATTTCTTATGTGGGATTGTATTTGGACCAGTTTTCTTTTGTGGAACAGCAGTATATTAATACATCGAATATGGTCTGGTTTGCTACATTCTAATAGCAACCGTGACTTTAGGAAGTCACTTATTGCTTCTGTTTAGGCCTTTCTGGATACATTTCAACCCAATGTGTGTAATCTTCCTCCTGTTTTAGTCGCTTTGGTATGCAGAATTGCAGAAAGCCCGAAATGTATTGTAACTTATTAATAATATAACTTGTATTTTCATGGCACCTCTTTTCTTATGGTGTGTTAGAAAGAATGTTAATGATTTTCTTTGTATGTTTGGCTTGAAAATGCCAAGGTTAGTAAAATACGAATAGTTTCTCAATGTAGCCTCGTTATTAGATTGGTTAGCAACAACACCCAACCTTTACGGCCTGTTTGGATGAGGTGTTCAGGAGTGTTAATAATGGAAGTGTTAAGGAGTGTTGACCTTAACACTTGTTTGGAAGAGAAAATGAAAAACAATTGGGGTGTTGGTAAAGGCTAGGAGGTGTTAACCATAACCTTCCTAACACCTTTAACTTATCACTTTTTTAACACCCCAATTTGGGGTGTATTGAAGTGTTGGACAAGTTTTACCCTTCAATATTTTCCTCCGTCTGCAATTCTACGGTCTACCTCTTCCCTCCTGTGTTTCACTGTTTTTGTTTCGTGGTTTCGTTCTCCTTTTCCAGTCATCTTCTTCCCTCAAATCTTCTTTTGTTTTGATAGCAACGACTCATAGGCTCTATTTTTTATGATATTGACTCTGGGTTTTGTACTAAAATAGTGCAATTTGATGTTTTTATATGCTGTAATTATTAGTTCATATACTCCGTATATTCGATTCAATAAATCGGGAGATGAATGCCACACATCTTCAATAATAGTGTCTCACATGCTCTTCTTTAATTCCTGTTTTTATTTATTTGTGAGAATTTTATTTATTTCAATATGAAGCCTGCGTAATTATCCTCTGCCTCACTTCCAACCAACGGAGTATAATTTTTTTTTTATCTTTCCACCACTATATTTGTTGGGTTGAAAGAATTTCAGAAAGATATTGTGTAAATTTTAAGTAGCGTATGGAACATTTAAAAAATATAAGGATATTTTTGTCAATTTAAGTGAGAACACTTCCTTTACTAACACTCAACCTTTTTAACTCTTCCAAAGAGGGTTAATTTATATTTAACACTTACACTACCATCCCTTTCGGGCTCCTGCTAACACTTACTAACACTTCCGTTACTAACAAATTTCAACACTTCTAATAGACCCAAAAGATTTATTTGGGTACTCTTCTCCCTCTCCTCTCCACCTCTTCTCCGCACCTCTCAACTCATCTAAATATGCATCACAAAGTCTTTTATGCACATGACCAAATCACCGTGATTGAGCACTAGAGATTTATAGAACAGTCTTTTGTAGTATCATTAGTATGTCTATACCTCAAGCACCGTTTGAAGTATTCCCACATTTTGTCTGATAGTCTCATTCCTAAAACGGTCTTTTATAATATGTCCATAGATCAACACAGCATGTGCATCTCTGCGCACTCATCTTTTGAATGTGACATTATTTCTCCGACCAACACTCTACTTTATATAGTAATGCATGCATAATCGCTTTCGGATATAATAGATGTCTAAACAAATATCTCATATAAATTTTATTGAGTGTGAATAAATATATAATCCTTTTGTAACATTTCCATGGCATTTTCTTGTGCAGTACATGCTGAGCTCCCCGGAGGCCGGAGATGGCTTTATACTCATTATGAAAGGTTAGATATTTGGATGCTGGTGATAGACATTAGCCTAGTCAGTATTTTGATAAGATAAATAAGATGAGAAATAAGAGGTCTGGGGGGTCCAATAGCTTATTAATTGGTCTGTTTGGTCCCTGCGTGGACTTTTACTATAAATAGAAGTTGGGCTAGCTGATTAAGAAGGCGGATATTTGGTTGGACTTAGACTTGGAGAGTGGGCTTCTCGAATAGTCCCATAGGCTATTGTATTCCTCTTACGGCGTTTTCCTATTTCAATAAACAAATACAGATCTGTTCATCCTAAATCTTTTATAGATTGCTGTCGTTTTCACTTAATTTCTGTCAGATCCTATCAGCTGGTAGTTACCACCAATATTTACAAGTTAATTGATTCTGAATTATAAACATTTTTCTTCAATATGGAGTATGTTAAGAGTTTGTCCACTCTTAGATAAATGTAAAATAAGAAACTAACATAGAGCTCGTTTTATAGTTTTTATTGGAGGTGGGCAAAATGGTTTGGTTTAACTGAACCGAACTGAACCAAACCGAAAATTGGTGGTTTGGTTTGGTTTAAGTTTACTTAAGTAAACCGTTTGGTAACAATTTGATCAAACCGAATGATTTGGTTTGGTTTGATTTAAAACCGAAAAACCGTAAACCGAACTGAACACCGAACAACTTACACACTGACACACACACTTTGTATTTATCTTCACTAGCTCTTCATTTTTGAGATATAAATAAATAATTTAGACATGAAAAATACATATTTAGCATATATCATTTTACCATTTACAGATTTCACACTTTCATAATGACAAAGTTAGCTAATACGACATATTTGTATTTGTTATGTTTAGCGATAAAATTAACAAATTGCCTATATATTTTTTACATGATTCATTTGAATAAAATTGTGAATATCAACATTTTTACCACCGATTACTATAGTTTTTTTTTAAATATTTTATGTGATATTATAAATGCTAATCAACTATAATCTTTTTTTTTGTGAGAAATGAATCTTTTTGTAGTGATCGAAAAGATGTTAGAAGTTTTAATTTATAATATTTCATTATTTCTTTTTCTAAGTTTTATTTCCTTTTACATTTTGTTTAAATAATCAATAAAAGAAGATGAGATGGACTACTACTTTCATTTTCTAATTCAAAAATACAGAACTTGATCAAATAAAATAATAAACATAAGAAAACGAATCAAATCGAAGTAAAGTAAACCTAATACTTTTCACTTTGGTAAACCGAACCGAACCGCAACCAAACCGAAACACAAATGGTTTTAGTTTGGTACAAATTCTCTCAGCCCGAATAAACTGAAACTAAACCGAAACCGAAGAAAACCGAACTGTAAACCGAATTGTCCACCCCTAATTTTTATTGAGTGTTATACAAGGCAATGCATGTATTAAACTTTTAATAGAAACTCAATGCTAAGTGAGGTTCCCAATAACTGTTCGGTCACTTATGGGAGTGACTCGTGGATGAGGTGTCATCTTTTTTTTTTCAATGTTAAGCGAGACAATAAATATACTTAACATTGATATGTCTTCAAGTTGTAAATGATAAACTACTCTAATTGCAAGTTTGGATGGAGTTTGACTAGTACTTTTTTTTTATAATCCAAGTGTTGGGGCTTACGTTTTCACAAATCTGGACTCTATGAACTATCCTCCAAAACCCCTAGACAGGTAAATTCGGATTTAATCACATGACTTACATCATCTGCCCCTTTCAGGCTGTTCTTCCCATCACACGAACTTGCTACCTTCATTACCATCCTTACGGAGTATTTAATTGCATATTGGGTGTACATTCTAAAGGTGTTGTGAATAGAAACACGTACTAAATGTAGAGTAATATCACTACAAGTAAGTGCAGAGTCTAAGATAGGTTAGTTGTAGATTGGGAACGGGGGAAGAACGTTAATTAGAAGGGAAATGCTTAGTGTACATGAGTTGTACACAAATTGTACACAAAACCCCCCTAATTGTCTGTGTACACAGGCAATTTGTTTAAAAAGGGGCAGCACTTGATCTCAAATTGTCTGTGTACACAGGCAATGTACACATTTTGTGTACAACTTGTGTACACCAAGAATGGGCATACCGCATATAAGTGATAGAGTATTGTCATACTCCGTATTTACAAGTAGAGGTACAATTTGATTTTGACGTGATTCCTCATACAATATAGTCCAATATTTAAGTTAAGTTGTGAAAAAAATCAACTTACATGTGAGATTATTAAAAAGAAATAAAGTGTTTTGTTTTAAATATTTTAATTACCAAATACTACGTAAGAAATACAATCCAAATTTTGGTTTTTGACATCTAAGTGTGATTCATTAAAGTATAAGTTAATAAGTACGTATCAACAAATTGAAAAAATCACAAAACCACAGTTAAGATTTTATGCATCATAAATAAAAAAGTATTGACATGTTAAATATGTTTACTCTGGGTCATTGTAGTAAAACGCTGAATTGATAGGCTGCGTACTTTATTTTCATGTCGACTTGGTGCGTATTTTGACAATCTGACTTACTGATCGAATGACAATGTGAGGTTATGTTCTTGGTGAATCGTCTTACCATTTTCCATCTTTGTCCCAACTTAAATTGCTCATATATGCATCATGTTGCTCAGTGGCGGAACCAGAGAATAATTTGAGCGGGTGTTCTTACATATATTTTTTTTTTGCGAAACATAGAAAAAAAATTCTCGTGAATAGGGTAAACGAGTGCACTTTTTACTCATTCTGATGCACAAGTAATTTTTTTTTTTTTTGCATTTTTCTGCGATGATGAAACTTTGATTGGTTTTGTAAATTGTGACCCGTTTCTCATAAAAATGTAGTGCATTATTGTCTAATTTTGAACCATTAGATCCCAAGTTTAATTCACAAGATTTATTCTTATTTTTCATGAGAATAACTCTTTTTTAAGGAACAGAATAACTCTTTTTATTTGATCCAAATCTTGTATATATGCGTATATAGTGTGTCCAAGGTAAAATGCTAAATGCGGACTGGGGAGTAATGGAGAAGCACAAGTGATGAAGTAATGAAGCCTTAAAAAAATAAGGCGTCACAGAGGGTTGAACCCGCGACATAATCGACACGGAATTCTTCTCTGAGCCCAGCTCCCAACCGGACTATCAACACCCTTGTTCATATTTTACTGCCGGTGCTTTAATATATACAATCTTTAGCAACCGGGGTTGAGATATATACATACATATATATAGGGGAAAGATCAAGTACAAATTGTACTTATTGTGCAAATATTTATACGATGCACCTTAACGTTCTTTGTATTGCATATTGAGGTTCAAAGTAGTGTATATTATTCAGCCATAAAATAGCAGTTGCACATTAGCGTTCAACGAGTTGCACCCTAAAAAAGTTGGGTTTTATTACAAAAATGCCACCGGCGAACGGGGGGGGGGGGGGGGGGGGGGGCACCGGCTCGCCTCCCCTAGTTCCGCCACTGATGTCGCTCTTAGTATGTGCGAATTTTGTTAAAGCATTCATTATGTTGGAATGGAGTGAGTGTGGCGGTTGTTAGAGATAGTTCTAACGCCTAGACTCTAGAGTTTAAGACTTGCCAAAATGTCTTAACTCTAAAAGTGATGTAGAATGACTTCATTTTAAAAGTTAAACAAACACGCACAAAAATGTCTAATCAAACACGCAAACCTATAAAAACGGATTTATATTCCTCCTAATCGCATTTCTCCATTTTTCACTCTATCTCTCCTATAAATCACAAATCATACTCGCCCTTTATTTCTCTACCTAAACATCCAATCATTTCTCTCCTAATAAGAAAATTAGTTAAAAGAGTGAAATGTATTAAAAAAACACTAAATTCATAATTTTATGCTGTCTTTAAATTTTACCAAATTCTAATGATGAATATAGAATGAAACCAGCCAATAGGGGTAACCGTAACCTTTATTATAGATTCACCTTTCAAGGCATTCAAGCAGATAAAAATGCTTAATGAAAATTCGTTAGAGGTTGTCTCAACCTTTTTACAAGTAAATGACTTTTACCTCAATTGGAAGATTTATCAAATAGGAGGAAGACTTATTCGAAGGTTTTCTATCATGAATAAAATACTATCTCGATTTCAGGAAAATAACAAAATTAAAAATTAAATGATAAAATGTTTTACATGATAAGGAAAACAAAAAGAAGCAAAAATTAATAATTTTCAAGGAAAATGACAAAATCGGAACATCTTTAAAAGTTTGAAGACCCAAAAAATAGTACCGAGTATCTCAAAGTGGTGAATTGGTCATTTTAATGGGGTGGGCAAACAGAATTTTACTTCGTTTTTTAAAGTTTAGTTCAAGCGTAATGTACGGTAGGCGAAGATGAAGGTGGCAAAACATTATCGGAACATCCAAAACAGAATCATCCTCCTCGTCCTTAGCCACCTACTCTCTCAGTCCACACATTCCTTCGCCGCCGCAAACCTAAAGCCACCCCCAGTCCCACTTCTACCCGTCCCTTCAGCACTGCAGCTTTCATGGCAGCTTTCGGAGATGGCCATGTTCTTCCACTTCGGACCCAACACTTTCACCGATTCGGAATGGGGAACGGGTCATGCCGACCCGTCAATATTCAACCCGATTAATCTCAATGCCACCCAGTGGGTAACTGTTGCCAAGGAGAATGGGTTTTCAAGAGTGATTCTCACTGCTAAGCATCATGATGGGTTTTGCCTCTGGCCTTCAGAATACACTAATTACTCTGTCAAGTCTAGTCCCTGGAGAAATGGGTCTGGAGATGTGGTGGGTGAGTTGGCTCAGGCTGCAAATGCTGTTGGTGTCCAATTGGGTCTTTATCTTTCTCCTTGGGACAGACATGAGCCTACATATGGGGTGACTCTTGATTATAATGAGTACTATTTGGGACAGATGGCTGAATTGCTTACCAGGTACAACTTTTTGTTGTTGAAATATCTCATATCAAAAAGTTACTCGCATTCCTCTATGTAGACTAAGACTCGCAGTCCAATGTATATGAATTTGTAAACTCATTTTGAGACTTGATGCTGGTATCTTGATAGAAATAATACTTTCTTGTTTGAAAGTTTGTATCTTTATATTTGGTTGACTTGAATTAGCTTTAAAATATGCATATATTGAGATTGAGTCTTTAATTTTAGCTCTGGTATGCCTTTGATTTTCTGGAATGCATCTAAAATAGTATTAGATCTTAATTATGGTACTCTTATATGTTGTCGGTTTTTTTTGTAGTAGTAGATTATCTAGATTAATTACAACTCCTGCATGTTGTCGGTTATTTTTAGATTAATGTGTAGCATTGAACCTATAAGATCACGGAATTGCTCATCTCCTAGCATACATAAAAGTTACTGCTTGAGTTCTATGTTTTTTGGTTTTTTGGAGTTAACTAAAATGATATTGGATCATTATGATTGATTACCTTTTTTGGAGTCCAGCCTTTTTTCATTGTTGGAGTTTTTTGAACATACTTAAGTTATTTTTTAATGAGAGAAATCTTAACTGGTTTGAGAAGTGCTTGATTTGATGGCCATAACAACTATATATAATGTAGATATGGGGAGATCAAAGAAATATTCTTGGATGGTGCAAAAGGAGAGAATGAGAAGGATATGGAGTATTACTTTGGTGATTGGTTCAGCTTTATTCATCAGTACCAATCCGGGGCTGCGATTTTCTCCGATGCTGGCCCTGATACCAGATGGGTAGGAGATGAAGCTGGCATTGCCCCCACTACTTGTTGGTCCCTTTTCAATTGTAGTAATGCAACCATAGGTGGAAACGATACCGAGTGAGTTTTCTTTTCCCATATCACTCCAATGACATTATCGCGTCTTTCTTTAAAGTACTACATTCGAATTTCTTGATTGAATGTAGGAAAATAGTCAAATATTCAGTGTGGCATGTAAAGACTGAAATTATTCTTTTTACTTCTTTTTTGGGCTAATTGCATAGACATCCCTGAATATTGTTGACAATTACAAATAAGCTCCTTAAACAATGACATTTCCCCCCAAATAACCCTTTTAGCACCAAAAGATTATAAAATGTAAGCATCTTCAGATCAAAATTTTTGTTTTTAATGCATTCTATCAGCTGAAGCATTTAATACTTTCTCTTGAAAAGACTATGAGACGTCAGGTAAAATCCAATTTACACTGTTAAGTCATCTCAGATTGGCCGAACATAAAGATGCAAACAAACAAATAAGGTCTTGGAGTAATCTTTTTATGTTTTGAATGCCTACTCCAACAATATTCCCCGAGTGCCGCAAAGGCTCCCCACCTACAGTGGAGTAAGGGGGTCAGATCTACGCAGCCTTACCCCTGTACTAAAGCTCACATAGACTGTTTCCGGAGTAATCTTAATGCATACTCCATATATCATTATACCCTTAGTGCTGTTTGAGGAATAATTACTCGTGAAATGAAATAATATGCTGAAACCTCGAGGGTTATTTTGTAATTGATGATCCAGTCTCAAGTGAGGCAGACGCAGTTAACTATTCTTTTTCTAATGATCTCCCGACAGATATCTAGGACAAGGTGACCCTGCAGGCCACGATTGGGTGCCTGCTGAATGTGATGTTTCAATACGACCCGGTTGGTTTTGGCACGCATCAGAGATTCCCAAGACCGCGATGGACCTTCTGGACTTATACTACAAATCAGTTGGCAGAAACTGCCTCCTATTGCTAAATGTACCACCAAACACTTCTGGCCTTATATCCGATGAAGACATACTAGTTCTCAGAGAGTTCTCTGAGATCAGGACATCCATTTTCTCCCACAACCTGGCAAAAAGTGCCTTTCCTTCTGCAAGCAGTACTAGAGGTGTAAGTGATGTCCGTTTTGCCCCTGAAAACGTTCTTAAAGAAGGGATCTTTACTTACTGGGCCCCAGAGCGGGATCAATCAGAATATATATTGTATCTGGATTTTCAAGAACAGTATACATTCAATGTGTTTGAAATTAAAGAGCCAATTCATATGGGGCAGCGGGTCATCACATTCCATATTGATGTGTTGAATGAAAGAGGGGAATGGGAGGACACTGTAAATGGAAGTACAATTGGGTATAGGAGGCTTCTGTTGTTTCAGATGGTGAAAACAAGTAGCATAAGACTTGTCATTGACAAGTGTAGAGAAGAACCTCTTATTTCTTATGTGGGATTGTATTTGGACCAGTTTTCTGTTGTGGAACATCATCATAGTAATAAGTTTAGTATTTGGTCTGGGTTGCTACATTCTATTAGCAACCATGTTCATAGGAAGTCACTTGTTGCTTCTGTTTAGGGCTTGCTGGATGCATTTCAACCAAATATGTGTAATTTTCCTTCTGTTTTACTCCCTCAGTATGCAAAAATGTATTGTATATTTGTAACTATATTAATAATATCACTTGCCTTTTCATGGCACCTCTTTTCTTAGGGTAGGATTGGAAATAATGTTAATGAATTCATTTTTGTATGTTTGGCTTGAAAATGCCGAAGTTAGTGAAATAGGAATGGTTTCTTAATTTTTCCCACATTGCTAGATTTCTTGGTGTTTATATAATGATAGAGTAAATATGAAATGGGTTTGAACAAATATCTTATACAGTGTAAATTTTAGGAAAATTAACCTAAATAGGACTAAATAGGATCATCATGTTTTTATTCCTAAAATATGACTAATTATTGACCTGTTTTGGCAATACCAAACTTTAAACATGGTAGTATTTTTCAAACTTGGTAGTAATCATTGTCATTTTCTACTTTTCCTCTCCCATTTTCTATCTTTAATACCAATAGAGATTTCATTCTTGAGTGGAGAAAATATAAGCCAAAGTTTTACCCCCATAAAGTGTGGAACTCATGTTCAAAACTTCTACATTTTGTTTTTTTTTTCATTAACATTTTTGTCCTTGAGAAAAAATTGCCCCCACGGCCAAATACAAGATGGTCCCTATTAATTTTGATCTTTTAAAATGGAATTTAGGTCTTAAAATTGTCTTAACCAAAGTATCATGGTACAGCTCCAAGATGGAAGGTACATAACTTTAGTTTGCAAATTGCAACAATTAAGTTCAGAACAGACACTGTTGGCTACTGAAAATTGGGAGAAGAAAAAAAGGCTCCCCAATGCTTCTGATGATAAGATAGCTCCACTAATTTATGTGATCTTGATATCACGTAGAAGCCGAGCAGCTACAGCACCATATCTGCGTGTTTCCCATTCACTGAGCTTTCTATTTTCCAGATCAGCGATTAGCTTTTCATCCCCTACGCTTTCATTGCCTTGCAAATCATCCACCTTGAAACTATTATTATCATCTTCTTCTTCATCTGATTCATGTTGGAGTTCTTTGTATCCAGCCAACTTCATCTTTTGAGCAGACAAATCATCTTGTGAAGTACATTCTGAGATCCCTCCAGATGGTTTTAAGCTCATTATGAACAGTTGGATACTTGGATGCTGGTAGTCACTATCCATCTACAAGGAAGGTAATTGATTCCAAATAATAAATAAAAACACATTGCATCATTATGGAGTATGTTAAAGAGTATGTTAAGTTGGCACATCCATCTACAAGCAAGGTGATTGCTTCATTTTTCAGATTCAACCCAAAATCCTAGTATGGTACCACAACCAACCATGCCCATAGCGATGATGTAGGTCTCGTATTTAAAAAAAACCAGCCTGAAGTGTCAGATTGTGAAGTGTATACGTCTATTGGGAAAAATGCTTCAAAACATATGCGGTGTCGGAACATTGGTAATTACCCTCATAAAAATGGTACTCCGTATAATTCAGACAATATGTCGATCCTTGAGAAGTGTACGCTTCTATGACAAAAACATGCACAGTTTACATGAGGTGCCGGGTTATGACAGAATGTTTCCTTGAGAAAATAACATACTACCTCCGTCCCAAAAAGAGTTGCAAATTTGACTTTTCTTAGTCAAACAGTCGCGTTTTATTCACTTAATTAGGAAGTCAATTTTTAATATTTTCTAATTTGGAGTTTACAACTTTGAAGAGATTTTAATGTAGTTTTTGAATATGTAAATTTTAATTATTAAAAATTGAATTAATTATCCATAGGGAGGGTTGACTTTTATTATTGGTTGACCAAAAAATGTTGACTTTGCAAAACAAATTGGGACGGAGGGAGTATAAAAATAAAATAGCAATGTCCGGATATGTGAGGTGCCTAGCCTTGAAGGAGTTCATGAATTTGTCCAACACTGACTAAATATAACATAAGAAACCATTTAGAACTTTAGATTTGTACCTATCATATTAGTATTTCACCATGAATCATTAAGTTCTAATAGGGTACTACAAAAAAGTTATAAGCATGGATATTGGGACTCATAAATGTTTGAGATTGTGAGCATAGTTAGGACGTATTTTCTTCACCTGAAAAAAACTGATCTGGTTCTTTCTAGTCACACCTCATCTCAGTGTTTGGGATCTTTCTGGTCACTTTGAGACTTTTGCTTTGGTCTACTTTTATCTAAATATTGTTGGTCTAGTCTATTAGAATAGGTAAAGTAATAAACAAGAGAAATAAGAACAAGAGCAATACCTTAGAGCCTTAGTTCACTAACGAGGTTATCATTTACCAATTTACACTCGTTATCGTTCACCAAAAGTGTTTCATTTCTTGGGCAGATAGCACAAATATTTAGAAACAACTAGCCACTACCTTTGCTTTTGGAACTGTCTTCACCTCAAAGTTTCTCTTCCATATTTCAAGCATCTTTTCATGGACATTAGTTGAACGAATTTCATATCCTAACTGCAATATCGAAAATAAGACATTAACTGACTTAAATGAAAAGAACATGATGTGCTTGATTCTAAGCATGTTTAACATTGCAATACCAAAATTGTTGTTTTGGGTCCCGACAGTGCAAGAATTGTCTGCAAAAGTGGTTCCAAGAGATGTTCTGTATAAACCTAGTTAGCACAAGGAAGAAGGTAGTGCGTGTATGTTAAAAGCGGCAGAGGAGGTGGAAAATGATAAATAGTAAAGCCATGGGCTACTGATTCCAAATAACAGAGATTAATTGGGATTTTTGTTAATCTAATTCTTGAGACTTTCACATCGGACACATGCAAAAATATAAACCCACATTTAACGCATTAGATGCTCCAACTTATAGGTCGCTAGCACACATCCTAATATGGTATTAAAGTCTCTTAAGCTTCAACAAGCAATTCAATCGAAGTCTCAACAGTTCTATTTGTTAGAGTGCTACAATGGAAGTTAAGAAGAAGAAATAATGATGTTCCGGAACTCACAACATCTGTTCCAATGATGTAGTCAAATGGTGGTTCAACAGCTTTTATGTGATTTTCATCACCCCAATTCAACTCCGCAACCTTTATGGAACCAAATGAATCTAAAAGCAAAACATGATTCTATGTCAGGCCAAAATGATAGGCACACTCACAGTTCAAATATACTCTCTCTGTCCCATAAACAGAACAAAAATCTGATTTGAAAAGTACACATTAAATTCATGTAAGCCAAGCAGCAAGGGACTTGAGCCGGTAACTCAAAAAAATGGAAATAAGTTCTAGAGATAAAATGTTGGACCATTCATGATTTGTAGAAGTTCTAACCTTGATTGAGTTGACAAACAATAAGACAATAAAAAGTTATGACTTTTCTTACCGGGGGGGGGGGGGGGGGGGGGGGGTGAAAGCACTAAATTATCTATTTGGTAAAAGGAGTCAGAGCAGTGCTTATATATTCAAAAGTAAAGATAAAGATTTTGTCAAAAGGAGCAACCTTAATTTTAATCCTAAGAACCATAAGATAACACTGGTTGTGGATGGATACCTGGATCAGATATCGTCTGCATTACTCTAGAAGTATTACGCTCAGAATTTCTCATCAATAATGGCAACACCTCTATTTGGTCTGTCGAAACAACATCACATCCAAGTAATGCCATGCCTAGAAAGGTGGGTCCACTTCAGTTTCATATTGACCATATGAATAGAGCATAAATGGAACCAATTGAGGAGAGAAGCAAAGAATTAGCTTTACCAAATCCAGCTACTCCACAGCCAGCTCCAAGCTCAATCACACGCTTTCCCTTCAATTTGGCTGGACAAAACCGTCCTTTCCGACAATTTTTCTCCTATATTTCATTTATGATAGTTATGTTCTTAAATTACTTATGTTTTATTGGAGATGAAAAAGGCTCTGAAGGACTTGAAACATTCTAAGCTCAAAAGTTAAACATTTCAACAAGGATGAAGAAATCTTACCAAAAATTTGACCAATACCATTGATGCGTCCCAAACTGTTGTCCCCAAGTGCTTGGAATTAGGATCCTGCCACAATAATGGGGAAAAGGCAGACACTTAAGAGTAGACCTCTCTATTTAAAGTGAACATTAGTAATTACATAATAACTAATAAAGAAAAAAGGGAAAAGTTATTAACTTCTGAATCACCAACTTGCCAACAAGAAGAAATTATAAAAATGAGGTTTGGGTAATTTTGACTGCACAAAATCAGTTTCCAATCAACCATCCGGTGCACACCAGAACTTCAATGTAAGAGTGAATATTAATACTATTACACAAAAGGAAAACTGGAAAAGATACGGAGTATTAACTTTAAATAGAATCAATTTAACTAAAATATAAAGAGCATATAAAATGATGATTACATAATAATACAAATCAATTGGTATGCAGCCAAAAGACTGATTACCTGAGAAAACTGAAGTTGGTATCCTAGAGCCTCAAACATGATTACAGATGTGTGTGGAGAATTCAATCTGGAAAACATTCAATTTTCAAGATATAGCTATGATTAATCCATGCACCCCAAAAAAGATGTTCAAATGTATTTTATTTCCCACAAAAGTCCAGTTCAATTAAAGAAGCTATTTTTCATATGATTTACCAAAACTTGCTAAATAAAAGAGTGCCAGACAAGTTTAGAACTTTAGATGCTGTACATTGTTCTTTGCTCTTTTTTGGCACTCAGGTAGTATTCTTACATTTTTATTAATACCGAGACTTGAGATAATCAAATCACAATACAGGGATAACAAAACGAAGCAATAATATAGCAGCCTGAAAATCCATACCTATATGGCTCCATCTGAAACTGTGTACTGGATAAAGCAGGTCAGTGTCACTCTGTATTGCTGCCAACTAGAACATACAAAACAATATCATCATCCGAAACTTTCATCTCTTTCGAATGCCAATTTCTCTATTTGTTCCAGATAATTTTAGCTACGCGTTAACCAGCTTAAATGAGATAAAAGTTTTCAACTTTTTCACTATTCGTATTTGAGGTATGCAGATTATCAAATATTGTGAATGAATAAAAGACTGCAGATAGAGTGAGCAGGAAAATAAATACTCACGTCAAAGAAGATTCAGTTTTTTAGAAAACTGAAAAGATACTTTGAACAAATGAGACTTCCATAAGTAATTGCTTAGCTGACCTGAATGGAGTGATTTCTTCGCTGATTTTTTTTTGGAAGAATTCTTCGCTGATTTTAGGATGTGGTTCCGCAGCTTACTGGTGAAAATGGTTATTAGGGATGGGTAAAAACAATTAAGTATTAGCCCCGAGGTTGTGTCATAATTTTAATGCAACATTGCATTTTTTAAAATCAATTAGTTACCCCTTAAGTTTTGATTATTTTCACTGTTTGTCCCCTCTAAGTCTCTATAAATCATAATATTTATTAAAATAAATTTAATATAACTCTTAAATTCAATAAAAATTAAATTTTAAAGTAAATCACAATTTATTATCATAATTATAAGTCATTGTTGTTTATTGTTATTTTTATATTTAGCTACTCAATCGTGGAATAATGAAAGTAGTTAAGGTAGAAGACTCACGGGTAAGATATAAAACATCATGAATTTTTTATATTTTTATTTTAAATATCATTTAATAAAAAATTCAACAAATCAAAATCTATGATGTATATTTTAGTTCTTAGATTAATTGATAGGTTTCATTTATTCAGGCCCTATATCGACAGATTTTTGTCTTTTAGGTCACTTATTAATACTAGATCAATCTTTTAGGTCATGGATTGATAAAATTCATTTTTTTCCTTGGTTCTTGCTACATACGAAAGAAGTGTCATTGAGATTAATTCAGCCGGATGAATTACAAATACGACTTTTATATTGATGATGAAGAGGTGTATAGAATTTTGATAACACATATTTCAAACAATATTTCTTTTATGTATCCCATGAATTTACTCAACTTGAGACTCTTCTGCATTAACTACTTTGATCAATATTTATTCCGCGATCGAGTAGCGCAACTAAGTAGAAAAATAACGATAAAAAATGACTCATAATTATGATAATAATTTTTTTTACTTTAAATATTAATTTCACAGACAATTTTCATTGAATTTAAGAATTATATTAAATTTAATTTAACAAATATTAACATGAAGGGAGCATATAGTGAAAATGATCAAAACTCAGGGGTAACTAATTGATTTTTGAAAATGCAAGGTTGCATTAATAATTATGGCATAACCACAGGGGGTTAATAATAATTTTCCCAAACAAAAAAATGCCTGATAATCATATAAATGGTGACATTTTTTCACATCCAACCGATCAATAGGTGGTTTATACTTTGGGTCCCAATTCCCAAACTAGAGCACACCAGATCAAAATAGAACCCATCAGATATAAAATATGATCAAACTTAAATGGACTGGACCGGGTTTGATTCCGGTAACAAGGAAACCAAACATCTAAAAAATCATAGTAAATCATATTTAAACAAATTTAATCAAATTAGATCAGACTTAAATGGACCGAATTAGGCTTGATTTACAACTGTACTATAAAAAAAAGTACAACCTTTTATTATGTAACTTTTATTATTACTTAACCTGTCATATTGAATATTTGTAGTTACTAAATAGGAGGGTTCTTGTGAAAACATATTTTAAAATGAGATTTTGGAATCACAACATTTCAAAAAGGGAAATTTTACTCTAATAATCCCACCTTTTACTCTTGTTTTCAAAATGGTCCCACTTACTAGTAATCTGAAATAAATCCCACCTTTTCGTGTCATCTGCTTTCTTTGGTACCAATGACTTATTACCGGTTAATTAAGTAAAAGTCAACAGTCATTTAAAAAAACTTGACTGTGTTCCTTTCAAAACAAATATTACCGCTTAAGGTTGAACAGTGATGTGAAATCCTTCAAAAACTACGAAGACGACGATGGAGTCTTCGACAATGATTTGAAAAATCCTTCCGAAAAACTGACCGCGTAATCCAAGCAAGAACAGAAGACGATGATGGAGGATGATGCTGGACAACAACAATGAGGTCTAACGAGGAGGACGGCGGCTACATAACTAGTAATAAAAATACGGAGTTCTTCAATCCCCTTTGTATTTACTGGTACGATACACACACACATATGAAATCCCTAATTGCTCATTACATAATTCTTATTTGAAACACAAATTTGATAAAGAGTCTCAATGTTTTGTGTGATAACAAATACATGTTGTGGTAATAAAATGGACACTCCAGTCAATTGAAAGACTACTTGTTTACGCTGCCCAGTATGTGTTTGTTAAAATGCTAGACTTTTTTAATGGGAAATTTGTAAAAAACATGGAATTATAAAGGCACAGATTTTATAATATTTGACATAGTAATTTAATCATACCTATATTTATTGTGTGCAAACTTTAAATCATTGTTTCTCTTTGTTAGGTTATTAGGGGAATGATGGATTGTGTATCATTGACATTCTGGCATGGTGGCCTTTTCAGAAAGGAAAATAATGACTTAGTTTATTTGGATGGGCATAGTAGGACCTTTGACGTAGACCCCGACGAACTTTGTTGGTTTTGGTTGGAGGAATTGGCAAAAAATGAGGAACTTACAATGTAATTGATGAATTAAATTATCTGGTTCCCGGACTTACTTTGGACAAGGGCTTGAGAAGAGTATACAATGATAAAGAGGTTTTAGAAATGACTAGTCTATTGATGAAGTTTAAGTCCCTAGATTTGTATGTTTTACATTATATTGATAAAGCCGATTTTGTGGTGTTGTTACCCTCCATCATAACCACAAAAAACCCTACACAACCAGCAACTACACTCCAAAATGCTCCACTTTTTTATGGTGACAGTGAGGGACAGCAAGGTTATGGAGTGAATGATGAAAATATAGTTGAAAATGATGATGAAGAGCATGATTCTGGAGAGGATGTTGAAGATTTTGAACAAGAACAAGAAGAACCAAGTAATTACTTCTTTGAGGGTGTTGATGATTACCTAACCAGTGATTAAACAGATATGAGCGATGATGAATATAGAGCAGCCAAGGAAAGGGTAAAAGACTGCAATACAAAGTTGTCTGAACTTGCAAAACAACGTCAAAAGGAGGTGGCTATGGGTAAGCTTAGCGGTCAAACTAAACCACCTAATTCCAGCACAGAAGCAAACACTCCAGATGGAGATGATGTATGTTTTAGCGACTATGAGGGTAGTGAGGAGGAAATCAACACCCCCAGATACTTCTGAAGAAGACTTAGCTGAAAATAGCAACGACAAAAAAAGAACTTGTGATCTAGTGCCCATGAATACTGATTTCTCGGTGTTTCAATGGAAGGTTGGATAGAGGTTTGCCACTCGGGAGGATTTTAAGAAGGCTGTAGCTAAATTTTCCATCTTGCAAGGTAGAAATCTCAGTTTTGTTGTGAGCAACAAAAATAGACAACAAAGGTTAGGGGTTAAGTGTGTACAAGGCTGCCCATTTAGGTTATATTCATCTTGTGATTCTAGGAGAGCAGCATTTGTATTGAAGACAGTTGAAAAGAAGCACACGTGTCATTGAAATATAAAAGGGAAAATGGAAACTAATAATCCAACCTTTTAGCGGTCTTCTTTCAATAATCCCACCTTTTGATTATTCATGAATAATCCAACCTTTGCACCTCATCTTCATTCGTTGGTCCCTGATCGGTTAATGACCTGCTATTCCAAGTTATTTTCTTATCTTTGCAAAATATTATCTTTGTGAAAGATGAGATTTATGGTATAATGATTTGCAAAGATAAGAAAATAGTTTGGAATAGCAGGTCATCAACCGGTCAGGGACCAGTGAATGAAGATGAGGTGCAAAGGTTGGATTATTCATGAATAATCAAAAAGTGGGATTATTGAAAGAAGACCGCTAAAAGGTTGGATTATTAGTTTCCATTTTCCCAATATAAAAAGAACAAACAGCTCAAGTTAACATGGGTTGCACAACAATTAGTTGATGCGTTCAAGGAAAGACCACACTGGCCAGCTAAGGAAGTCATTGAGACTGTAAAGGGGCTTACAAGGCTGTAATCAAAAGGAACTTTGCATATAAAGTGAAATACTATGCACATAAGTTACTTCATGGATCGATGGAGGAGCACTACAACAAAGTTGGAAGATATTTGGAGGCTTTGAAGATGTCAAGTCCTAGAATTGAATTGAACTTGATTACAGACCTAAGTAAGAGCAATCCATCCCCAATATTTCAAAGGTTGTTCATATGCTTCGAAGCTCTTCAAAGGGGATGGAAGGAAGGGTGTAGGAAGGTGATATGTGTTGATGCTTGTTTTTTAAAAACATTTCTTTGTAGACAATTATTGTGTGCTGTGGGTAGAGATGGTAATGAGCAAATGGATCCATAGCATGGGCGGTTGTTGAAGGAGAGAATAATTTGTCATGGGAGTGGTTTTTCATCCAACTTCAAAGATGCCTTGCCTTAGGGGATGGTGATGACATAGCTATAATTTCTGATGAGCATCAGGTTAGAATTCACTGTTATTTTATGTTTAGAAACACATTATTGTATTTGCCTAAAGTGTTGTTTTTGTTTTTCAGGCCATTTTAAATGTTGTTTCAAGTGTTCTTCCTCTAGCTTAACATAGACACTGTGCGAGGCACATATTTGCACTATGGCACAAGTCTTTCAAAGGAGATGAAATGAAGCTTTTGTTTTGGAAGATTGCCAAAACTTACAACATGGCAGATTACAATGACGCCTTCGATGAATTGGAAAGGGTGAATCCAGAGGCTGCCACTGCTTTCAAGACCTACAACCCGAAGCTCTTTTGTAGGTCATTTATAAAGGCAAGTATAAGAACAGATGTTATAACCAACAACATGGTTGAGATCTTCAACGGCTACATCATAAATGCTAGAACAAAGCATCTAATATATATGCCGGAGGACATACGAACTACATTGATGCAAAGATTGGTGTTAAAAAGAGAGGCAATGGAGAAGGAGGACTCAAAACTCTGCCCAAGAATCCAAACCAAACTTGAATCGGAGAAGGCTAAAGCTGCATATTGTGATGTTCTTCCTTCCAGCTTGCATACATTTCAAGTGAATCTCTACCTGGATAGTCTGAATGTGGACTTGGAAGCAAGAAGTTGTACATGTAGGAAGTGGGATATGTCTGGCATACCATGTTGTCACAGAATAGTTTGCATATCCTTCATTTCATAAAGAAGCTGAAGACTTTGTTGAAGACTGCTACAAGAGGGAAACTTATTTGAAGGCATATGCAGGGTCTATTCCCCCATGTGAAGGTGATAGACATTGGCCTAGGATAGAGTGTAAGTTGTATCCTCCTCCAATAAAAATGGGTCCTGGAAGACCTAGACGGAATAGGAGAAAAGACCCTTTTGAAAACCCCAAATCAAATGGAAAACTTCCTACACATGGTATTGAGATAACATGTAGTGTGTGCCAAATCAAGGGACATAACAAAAGAAGATGCCTTAATAGAGACAAAGTCGTGCTTATGGAACCTCAACCCAAGAGATCAAGGGGAAGACCAAAAATGAATTCTCATGTTATGGACTATACATCAACAGCTGCACCGGTAAACCATCATTCAATCACAGCAGAACCCAATAGATTGGGTAGATGAGGTAGAGTTATTAGAGGAGGAAGTGGATCCAGTGGAGGAAGAGGTTCAACAGGGAATAGGGCATCCTCTCAGCAGGGACGAGGAAGGGGCAGCAGAGAACATACTAATTAGCATAAATGCATGATGTATTGTTGGTGTTAGCTATTAAACAGTTTTATGGATTCTTATTAAACTTTTGGTTTGTTGACCACAATGTTAGTTGATGTTACTTTGCCTTTTTGATGATTCTGTCATATTGAACATATCGGTGATTTGGGTCAAATGAGTTGATCTGGTGTTTTATATTTGTGTATGTTTGTAGACTGGATGCAATTAAGAGTTCTGTTTCTTGTTTAGTTATATCAATGGTCATTGGGTCCCCTGATTTCCATTTGAGAATTTTACTGATTTGTATTAGTATTGTAGCCAGTTGTTCTAACTCGTGAAATAATCAAATTGTTTGCGTTGAGGTTCACCGATATTATTTGTACTTGGGGGAATATTAGCTCTTCCTAGGTGAATATTTTCTTGGAAATATATGGCTGTTTGTGCATTTGAGTTCTCTTGGTAGTTTTTTTTTCAGCAGTAGGTGAATTTTTTCTTGGAAATAATGGGATGCTTCTGGGGTTAATTTTGTTGGGGGAAGAATTTACTTTTTGAATATCTAATGCGTGTTTGGTATGGGCAGCTTCCATTGAATGAATAGTGCAAAAAAATTGCACTGTTATTTATATGTTTATCAGTTGAAAAGAAGTTAGAATGTTTATCAGTCTGCATTATCCTTCCTTAAAGTGGAGTGTAAAAGTTGAATAAGTTCAAATGTGAATTGCACAATCCTGAATAAGTAAGGATATCAATTAATCATTTGGTGCACTTTTTCTTAAAAATGACATGTATAAGCACCTGTAATGCTACACTTTGAACCTATAATATCAATTTATCAACCTGTACATTTGCAAACGTGCATTCCAAAAGCAGCAGCTTTAAGCTAACTTTAAGGCTAATCTTTAAGATTTTAAGCTTAACTGTCAAGCCAAAAAACTGCAATTTTAAACTAACTAAAGAACTATAATTCTGCACCTTTAAGCTAACTGTCAAAGTAAAAACTGCAATTTTAAACTAACTAAAACAGTATAAATCTGCACTTAATCGCAGCTGCATCTTTAAGCTAACTGTCAAAGTAAAAAACTGCAATTTTAAACTAATTAAACAAATAAATCTGCACTTAATAGCAGCCCACAACAATTTCTATTCCATTGTAGTCAAATACATATGATTCAATTCTAAGCTCAACTCCAAATGACAGCACACACCATTAAAAAGGAGCCATGAAAGAATTAAAAAAGGAGCCGTGAAACAAGTCTACACTCTACTGCAAATTTTATTAAACTTCTTGTTACAACCTACTTCAAACTCAAAAATACAATGGCAAATAGGAGCCATGAAACAATTAGAGCCGTTGCATACTTCTTCTCGTTCTTTGAAGACTACAAATTCGCAATGCACATTTGGAAGATGTCATTCTTCATATGCTCGACTTGTTCTTTCGGATTTTTCTTTTTTAGCTGTAACTTTTTTATCTTTTCCTCCATTTTCTTCATCTGTAAGTGTACATCAGATGCATTACAATTCTTCTTAACCAGGTTGGTGTCTTCACTTTCAGTAGCTAAACCTAACTCACTTGCATTTTCCCACCTGAAAAAATCACAGTTTGCATCCTAACCAACAAAAAATTATTTATTCCGCATTTCCTTGACAATATATATAAATTACATATACAATCAATAACCACATGCATGTGAATTTTTGAATTTTTGAATTAAAATTATCTTTATTTACAGTGACACTGAACTCTTGAATTCCATCTACTGGTAGATTTCGTCGAACAAAAAGTCAAGAACCACAGGCATGTGAATTTTTTCTTTTCTCAAAATGGTTCGACACAGACTGAATAGAAAGGGGAAAAAGCGAGGAAGAAGCGAAGAGAAGAAGATGAGAGAAGAACAGTAAGCTTTTACGATGAATAAAAATTAACGAATAGTACTCTGTAGGTTTTATCTGCGGTGGTTAATAAAATAAAGAAATAAAGATAAGTGTATCGGTTACTAACCTGGGACAATAAGTAAATAATTGTCTGGGACCAAAGAAAGCAGATGACACGAAAAGGTGGGATTTATTTCAGATTACTAGTAAGTGGGACCATTTTGAGAAGAAGAGTAAAAGGTGGGATTATTAGAGTCAAATTTTCCTTATACAAATGCAACCTAGTAAAGGAGTTGTAACTAAGGCTTATGGTCCGATGAATAAATGGTTGGTTCTAGAATGGACTTAATGATAAGAGAAAATAATAATGGTGTAACTAAAAATGACATTTTGACCTCTTTTAGTGTATTTAATAAATGAAAATGATGTTTGGTAAATAGTTATTCGGCCCTAGCATTTTTGGACGGAATCGCTGAAATGGAAACGCCGCAAATAGGTGAATGTTGGGTTAGAATTTGGAAATACGTCATTTTCTACTAATTGTTATGGCCAAAAAACTAAATTACCAAATATCTTTTGGCAATCCATCAACTTATTCTGCTAGTCAAAGTCGTCTTTTGAATTTGCTATTGACAACTTGCTAACATAATGCGCTATTTGTTAACTGTTAACCGCTAAATGTCAAATAAGCCCAACAATTATGAGGTGGTTAGGATGGGGTGAGCACAAAGGTGAACACAATTGGAGCAAAGTAATGCATGGCTAGGGAAGGGAAGTTCACAAAGTTTGACATTGTGTAATTAGAGTTGGTTTAAGTTATAATTATAATGTACAAGTATGTATAAAAGGAAGATCAACTAATATTAGTGGATTCCCTAAATAGGAGTTAAAAATAACAAATTTTCTCAAATAGAGGTATCATTGTTTTATTAGCAAAACATGACTTGTATATTTGAGAAGGAAATATATTTATTCTTATTTTAGAATTTTCTCTATGTTTTATTCTTATTTGTAGTAATTTTTTTACAAAGTGTCAGATTATATATGTAGGGGTTAGGTTGAGGGGTATGACGGTCGACGGATATCTACCCCACTGTTCCGCCTTACCCTGGGTGTGAGAATAGAATGGTCAACCTACACGGGTAGCTCAATTGAAACTTGCAGTGATCGTGTAGAAGTTACAACTCATGTGCTGGTTTATTTGGACATCTGATACGCATGAGTATGAGATTTTTTTTCCAGTTGATCGGAGTATGAGATTTTTTATCATTGAACTAAGTCACCATAATTTATAATCTTCCAAATATCTGGTGGAGTTGGTGCTTTAGAAACCTTTGAGATCGAGAGTTTGGGACCTAATTTTTTGGAACACAGGGAATAAATTGATCATAGGACCGCTCCTATAAGGTTTAAATATGGTTTTAGTCCCTGCAAGTATGATACACTTTGTTTTAGGTCCCTGCAAAATATTTTCTTTGGTTTTCATCCCTGTAATATGTGCTATTTTGGTTTTAGTCCATCTCTAACTCTGAAACAACTCTACTTAGATTTTTTAATTGTCGGTTGCATAAATCTACTAGATACGTTTAAATTTAGGGATAATTTGAGTTTGCACCCCATTTTATTATCCGAATTAGACTTTGCACCCCGTTTTTGAAATCATTAGTATTTGCACCCCCAACCCCGTATGAAAAGACAAAAATGCCCCTTGATCAGGAATTTATTGAAGGACAACAAAATTGTTAATGGAGGGGCATTTTAGTCTTTTCATACGGGGTTGGGGTGCAAATACTAAAGATTTCAAAAATGGGGTGCAAAGTCTAATTTAGACGATAAAATATGGTGCAAACTCAAAATACCCCTTAAATTTATAATTTTATTTTTTGAGGCTAATATGAGAGTTAAAACAATATTAAAACTAATTTTTCGCATTTTTATAATATGTATTAAAAACCTTTTAGAAAATGAAATTAAATACTTTTTAAATGACACGACATAGAATTAAAGGATACATATTAGTCGGGATTGTTTCATTGTCAAACGGAGGTTGTTATCATTGGTCATGGACTAAAAAGGAAACCAACATAAATTTCAGGGATGAAAAACAAAGAAAATATTTTGCAGGGACCTAAAACAAAGTGAGCTATATTTGCAGGGACTAAAAACATATTAAACCCTCCTATAATATAAAAACTTTCTCCCTCTAGATCCGCCGCCTCGACCGGTCTAGGGTTTGTCCGGAGACGGCTCTCCGCCGTGACTCCGTGTTTTTTGTTTGTTGGATGTCTATTTGGATTGGTTGGAAGACACTGTCTATTGCCGATTTCCTGGCTCGAGATCTTGTACGATGGGTTTAGTACGGGTGAAGGGTTCGAAGGGTTGTCAAACTAAGGGGATTGGGATCGACGATCTCTGGTTCGAAGTTTTCCGACATAGATAGTGCAGCGGCCACGAGGTTTGCGGTGCGAGAGTTGTAGGGCATGACGGCGAAATCCATGGAGTTGTGCCACATCAATGGAGTTGCTCTTAGAGGCAGTCACTTTGTGCCTCTTTTAATATCATTTTTTTGTGCCACATCATTGCCACATATGAAATCATAAATGATATGAAATATTCCTAACTTTCTCTCAATCATGATTTTAGATTATTGTGATTTTTGTATAAAAAGTATTAAAAGAGTCTCTCTCATACAAACACATGTTTGACCGTCTAGAAATTAATGTACCAAGCCACCAAGGTTTTTTTTTTTTGAAAGAAAGCTACCAACACGTATAGTTACTTTGTTTTCTCCAATCT